GAAGGAAGGAAGGAAGGAAGGAAGGAAGGAAGGAAGGAAGGAAGGAAAGAGATTATAATGAGAGTGAGGGAAGTTCTGCCTTAGCACTTGGCCACCACAGGTGCATTTGACATGAGTGACATTGAGCTGGCCACACCCACCCTGGCCATGCCCACTGCTGGCCCCGCAAGGTCAAACACAAACCTGATGCGGCCTTCATGAAATTGAGTTTGATACCCCTGGTCTACGCCATACCTGGCACGCGCTGTTGGAATTGTCTTGAAGGCTCTTGAGATTCTCCTAAGCTCAGGTGTCTAGTTCACCTGCAGCAAAGAGAAACATTTTCTGGTGGAGATCAAATTGCAGGCTAAATGAGAAACTGGCTTGAAGGGTAGACGCCATGCCAGTGGGAATGACTTCAAGCAGGGGTCGAAATGGCCTTCAGAACTTTGGCCAATAGGAGTGGACAATAGCATTTCAGGTTATTAGGCCTGTAGGACAACTTATCTGGAATGGGAAGAACTGTTTCAGAACTGTAAGATGTCTGTTGTGTGTTGACGTTGCTCTATCTATGATTTGATCCCATTCCTTTCCTGTCTTAGTAATTTCAGTCATTTATGGAGTTACCTGCATATTGCCATGATAATACCACTTTTCTACTGAAACCAGCTGGGTTTGGAGCACTGCAGACTCAGGTATACCATTTTTCTAGAAGTAGCTTCTCAACAGTATGAAGTTCTTTGTCTTGGAGGAGACGTTGGGACCCATTTCCGTGGGTGGTTGCATAAAATCAGGCAACCCTCTCTTTTATTATGTTTGCTTTCACAATACTCTTTGTGTAATCAAGGAAAGCTCCATTTATGCATATTCAAACAGAACACATCATTCAGGATGAGATTGGACCTATAAAAACATGGACTCAAGGACACAGGCAGGAAGACTCCTATGACAAATAACATTTTCAGGAGTGATTACCAAGAGAAGTGGTGGTAGGTGATTGACTAGGACAGTGGTTGCCAACCAGTGGGACAGGGAGCCCTGGTGGTCCATGAGAAAAATTTGGTGGTCCACAGAGAAATGTTACCCCCAAAGCAATTAATTCAGGCTGCTTCTTTCCACTTCTTTCTTCTTCTGCTTTTGGCTGCACGCAAGGAAAGCAGCAACAGTCTTTCTTTCTCTCCCCCAAACTCTGCCAGAAATGAGTCTTTGGGACCCTGCAAGGCATCCTGTTCCAAGAGGCTGTGCTGGCATGACAAGTCTCACAAAGATTCATTTCTAGTGGAGTTTGGGGGAGAGAAAGAAAGACTTCTGCTGCTTCTGCTGCTTTCCTTGCATGAAGCCAAAAGTCTCTCTCTCTCCCTCCCCCTGAGAATGGAGCTGGAGATGATATCCTGCGATCCCAAATCAAGAACGACAAATTGGTAGGAAAACGGGGTGGGGAATTTTCCTGCAGACTTTTTTTAGGATTTTCCCAGGGTCTCTGGTCTATGGGATTTAAAATTATGAGTTTGGTGGTCCTTGAGGTCCAAAAGGTTGGCGACCCCTGGACTAGGAGATCTTTCTATAGATTAGCCTTCATAATGAATGAAAACGGAGCCAAACAGTCTTCACATCCGAACCTCTTCTTCCAAATCCCAACCTCTTCTTTTCAGGAGGAGAATAAGGAAAAACAAGTCCTGTCAGCTCAGGGTTGGCTCTGGTGATGGTATGGACAATCTTCTCTCATCTCAATGAGATGTTCAATAAAGTGCAGCTCTTCCAATGAATTTCAGCTGCCTCTTTGACCCACATCCATCTCCTCTATCCACTGTTTCCCACTTTTTGGAGGCAAGGGGGAAAATACCCATCACCCATTCTGCACATATTTTGATTTGTCTGCTCAGCTGTTGAGATGTGATGTTGAGTGGTTCATCTGCCAATGTAAAGTGCCAGGCGAGACTTCCATGGAAGAGGATGGACAGAGTTGGTTTCTTATTGACGTGGAAGATATTCTGGATTCAGGGTAGAATAGAATGGAACAGAATAACAGAATTGGAAGGGACCTTGGAAGTCTTCTAGTCCAACCCCCTGCCTAGGCAGGAAACCCTACAGCATTTCAGACAAAGTGTTATCCAATCTCTTCTTAAAAATTCCCAGTATTGGAGCATTTACAACTTCTGGAGGCAAGTTGTTTAACTGATTCATTGTTCTAACTGTCTGGAAATATCTCCTTAGTTCTAGGTTGCTTCTCTCCTTGGTTAGTTTCCACCCATTGTTTCTTGTCCTGCCTTCAGGTGCTTTGGAGAATAGCTTGATTCCTTCTTCTTTGTGGCAGCCCCAGAGATACTGGAACACTGCTATCATGTCACCCCTCATCCTTCTTTTCGTCAAACTATATGAGGTGTACGAGAGGGTGATGGAGCACTTAATAAAACTCCACACTGGTCTCAACAAGGCTACATCATGGAGACATCATGGCTTCTGACTGGAAACTAAAGCGGACTCCTGTGGTAACCAGACCTTCACAAGAAATGGAAAAGAAAGAGCCATAAAAGTTACAAGGGGAAATGCTTTTGCTGATAAAAGGCAGAGCAGATAACAAATCACAAAAGCCCCCTCAAGGGAGATAACCTTGAGGCGCACCTGTATATAAAGATTAAACAACAACCTGTATGGAGCAATTTATAGGGCTTATCAAATGGCAGGTTTCACTATTGACATTTGCAAAAACTCAACTTTATTATGGGTTTCTCTTTGTTAATATTCTGGGCTCAGGCAGAAACCAACTTTTTTTGGGGTGGGGTGGGGGGAAAGCACTTCAGGGAAGAAAAAGTTTTATCTGAGAAGTTTTATAAAAGGCATTTAATGAAATGCTATATGACCTCAAAAGACAAACAATAAAGGCTTAAAATACAGCTTTCAGGACAATTAGGCCTGTATCTCTTCCTCAACACTTGCATGCATGCCTTATACATGCACACATGCACGCACGCATGAATAACACACACACACACACACACACACACACACACACACACACACCCCTCTTAGTCAGCTCATGGCTGACTAAGTCAAGATCCAACCCATTAGAGTTCAAAAAACTCTGGATTTGATACCTGCCTTGAAGGAAAGGGAGGTTATCAAACACCTGGCAGGTGGAAAACAAGGACTTGTGGGCTGAGCTCAGCAAGCCCTTGTTCAAAAGAAAAGAAGGAAGGGAGGGAAGGAAGGAAGGAGGGAGGCAAGTTGGAAAGGGAGAGAGACAGGGGGAGAGAGCGAAAGGAGGGAGGGAGGAAGGAAAGAAGGAAGGGAGGAAAGAAGGAGGAAGGAAGAAGAAAGGAAAGAAGGATGGAAGAGAGGGAGTGAAGGAGGGAGGGAGGGGTAAGGAAGGAGGGTGGGAGGGAAGGAAGAAAGGGAGGGAGGGAGAGAGGGCAAGTGAAGGGAGGGAGGGAGGAAGGAAGGAAAGGAGGGAGGGAGAGGAAGGAAGGAGGAAGGAAGAAGAAAAGAAAGAAGGATGGAAGGAAGGAACAGAGGAAGGGAGGGAGAAAAGAAAAAAGGAAGGAAGGAAGGAAGGAAGGAAGGAAGGAAGGAAGGAAGGAAGGAAGGAAGGAAAAAAGTTTGATTTTATGATAGGAAAGTATGCTGGTATTCCAGAAAGAGAAGCAGCTTGGTTGTGTGAACTTTTGCTCTTCCGTGGTAGCCCAAAGCCAGCTTCACATTTCTATTCCATGCTTGTTCAAAACATTTGAACCTTGAATGATACAGCCTCTGAACTGAAGCCCTAACATGTAAGCATGTGGCCAAAGCCACCCCCATCATCCATGATCTAAGCCGGAGGTCACTGCTGTGCAAGAACCTGGAGGAGAAAGTTCACCGATTCTTCTACAGAAGAATCTTCTGAAGGGCTACTTCATGGGCCAAACATTTTGGAGACTGGATTCAGTTGCCAACTGCTACCTTAGGAGAGATGGTTAAATTCAGCTCCAGCTTTGTTTCACAGAACAACAGAAATACGATGCACAGCATGTGAACTGCTGTGAGCTATTCAAGTTGTGCAGGACCCAGAGGGAAAACACATTTTTTTTTGTTTTGTTTAATCAAAGGGCAGATGTAGGATTGGAGAGAGAGAGAGAGAGAGAGGATCTTCCCAGGAAGGGTCTTGTGTGGGTGTTCAGTGTGGACAACTTGGACCAAATGGGAAGAGATGCAGTTTGGAGTTAAGGTCCTGTTGGGGAAAAGAAAGAGATTAATTCCAGAAGAGACCATCAAGTGGAACAATTAATCTATTGTCAGGAAGGCATTCACACACATTCACTCACTACATAAGGGGGCTGAGGGACTACTTTGCCTTCCCACAAATCAGTAGCTCAGTCCGCGAAAGTCTCCTTACAATCTCCATAGGACGGTGCTTTAAGGGGGATTTTGATAAAAGCCAAATGCTGTGGGCTATTGTTAATTGGGCTATTGTTCTGGTCCTTATTAGAGAAACCACAATCTCAAATGCAAACAAACAGATGGAGAAGCTCGCATCGACAACTGGATTTTGCCGATTCTCTCCTCAAAACATTGGGCTCTGTGTCAAAGTCAAAGTAGGGTTAAACTTTTTGACCATCCTTCCACCTCCATCTCCCCCAGACTCTGTGGGTGGCTTTTCCTTCAGTTAAATCCCAAAGGCCAATCAGTGGTAGACCGAAGGCTAGATCTTGGCCTAAAGTTCTCCTAATAATCACCCGGAAAAGGACAGACAGAATATGATTGTATTTCTTTTCTTTCTTTTTTTTTACTGAAAAGCAATCATTTTATAGGCAGGGTTTGGCCATAAGCAGCAGGAAGCTGACTAGTCCTGATCTTTTATTTTACTTTAGTTTACAGTTTTAGTTTGGTTTGGTTTGGTTTACTTTACCTTAGGTTGTTTAGGTTAGTTAAGATTAGTTTAGTTTAGCTTAGTTTAAATTAGATTAGTTTAGCTTACATTAGTTTAGTTTAGTACCTTTAAATCCACAGTTTAGCTTTTAAAAAGGATTTGTTTACATATAGCATTATTTACACTTTAGCAGACTCATCAGTGATGGTCTGGTACACATAGCTCACACACATGTACACACAATTACATTTCTCAACATAATAATTATTCAGTACATTGTAACTAGCAACTGACTGGGCCTACTCTTTTGGAAACAAAGGCTCAACAGGGATATCAAGATGACATGTATCCGTTGTCACTTGACGTGGCAATCCTTAAATTTTGGAAACTGTTGAAACTGTTCCAGATTTCCTTGAATGCTCCCTGGATCCTCCTCTGAATGGGCTGCTTGTGGTACTAGCAGACTCTTTTGCTTCCTCTTGAAGCCATGGAATCAGAGGTGGTTATTCAGCAGGTTCTGACCAGTTCTGGAGAAACGGTAGCGGAAATTTTGAGTAGTTCAGAGAACCGGCAAATCCCACCTTTGACTGGCCCTGCCACCATCTATTCTCTGCCTCCCGAGTCCCAGCTGATCATCTGGGTCTTCTTTTGTTGCACAGGAAAATGGAGATGGAAAGCAGGTTAGTGATGTGGGGAGGGAATGGAGATTTTGCAGTATCCTTCCCCTGTCATGCCCACCAAGCCACACCCACAGAACCCTTAGTAAAAAAAAATTAATCCCACAATTGCACAGAATGTTCACGTTTCCCAATTGGACAACTTCAGAATTCTCAGCAAAGACCACATGGATTAGAGCATTCTGGGATTTGAAGACCTCACATCTGGAAGTTGGAAAAAAACATCTTTCCTTTGGGGTTTTGAATGCCATCTTGTGTTTTAAAAGCTGTTGTCAGTTTTCAGTTACAGTAAATCCGCAGTAATAGAGCTATTGTTGGCACGTAGCAGCTTTAGCTAGTCCTGCAGGGCACTGAATTGAAAAACATGAGGACTAGTGTGTCAGCTAGTTGTGTGATCCTTAGAAGAAAAAAGGACAGAGGGGAAAAAAAGCCATCTCTAATTTAATTAACTCCGGGAGTAGTTATGTCTTACATGAAAGAAACAGCTATTGTAGGTAAAAAAACAACTCAGAATACTCATATAATTAAGCAGCACAATAATGTATTATGAGCATTATCCTGTAGGTTTTTTTTTATTAAACATTGCCATTAAAAAGATAAAAACTAATGCAAACAAAAAAAATAAAAGAATTAAAAAAGAAAGCATAGAAAAGAAAAAATAGAAAAGAAAAAAAGGAAAGAAACATGAAATAAATATATAAAGAAATGACTTCCTCCATTGACAAAAGTATAAACAAAATTAGTAACTTATCAGCCACCCTTCTTGAAATACAATAAATAATCTCTTCTTCTCATATTTCATCTCTCATATGTAAACAAATCTTTAAATTTTGCTGCTCAGTCCCAATCAGCAAAAGTAATTTAAGGGTTACCAGAGATAACAACATATCTATTTTAACTTTGATCAAATAAGCCAACTTTATATTTCTTCCTTTTAATTTTAACAATCTTGATATTTATTCTTTTTAAATAATGTCCTGGAACTAGATGTTGTTTTTTCCTTTCTCACAAAATCTCCTTTAATTATAATTGTTAGTTTCTTCTGGTTCCCTTTAGTCTCCAACCTTTAAAGTCTCACCTATTATATTTTTTAACAAGAATTCAAAACAAAAACATTTTCCCATGGGAAAGGATTTTTATAATTAATTCCAAAATATTATTTCAAATCCACATGGACCCTCAGTCTGTTTATAACTTTCAAAAATCAAAGTTCTAACCATCCTTTGCTGCTTATTCCAATTTTTTTAAAAGTTCTTAAACTTATATTTAAAACTTCTTTTGCTAAGGAGTGAAGAAAGCTCAACTGGAATTATAAAACTTGTTGATCAAAAGGTTCCTAATAGCCAAAAAAGAAGTTAACAAACAACTTCCAAGAATGATTAGAAAAGTAGTATGCAAGTGTCTTTCTGAAAGTACTAACAAGATGGCTATTGCCTCACCTCCCAGAGCTCTGGAACTATTGAATACCATTGTCTTGTGATTCCTCAGAGGAACAACTGTACAGAGCACTTGTAGACAATCTCAAATCTTCTTGTCTGGAGAAGAGCCAAATCTACTTGCCAGCTCTTCATTTTTCTGCTTTCTCTATTCTCCACTAAACACAATATATTTTTGAAGGAAAAAAAATCTCGTTCGACCAAGGCAGTTGGAGTTTTGCGAACCAACAGACAACTTACCTTTGACGCCTCCTGGAAGTCCTTGGAAGAATTACAATGTTCTATAGACAGATAAAGCGTAAGGTTAGTCATACCCAAAAGTTGTCCTAGGGCTTTGCAAAAAAAAAAAAAAAAAGGAATGAGGGTATTCCTTTAGGTACAAACTGTTCGTTCCCTTTAAGAGCCAGTTTTGTCTAATGGTTAAAGCATCAGGTTAGAAAACTGTGAATTCAAGTCCTGCCTTAGCCATGAAAGCCAGCTGGGTTACTTGGGGCCACGTCACTCTCTCTCAGCCCAATTCACCTCATAGGGTTGTTGTTGTGGGGGAAAAAGAAGTGTTGGATATGTTTGCATTGTAAAAATAATGAAAGTGGAATACAAATAAATAAATGAATAAATAGGTTCTCCTTTTGCAAAGTGGGAGCCCAGAGCTAGGAGAAGGAAGTTAAAACAAGTATTTGTCAAATGTTTTTTATGGGATTTTTTTTTTTTTTGAAAATACAGATGTATAACAAATGGCAAGCCACCCAATGGAATAATTGATTGGTCAGGAGAGAAACATTCCATACAAAATGCTTTTATTTATCCTTCATGCCTCCATTCAGATATTTATACCAATGCATACATTTAAAAGTTTAAATTCTATTTCAATTCACAGCTCAAGTCATAGGGAAGTGGAATACATAAGAGCAATGCACCAACAGAATTAGGTCTGAGACATCATTAAAAACGTTAATACTTGTTCATGAAGTTAATTGTCTGCTGATGGTTCTTGTCTTTAGAGGGAATCCCCATTACGATGGTCATTGGGCAAACAAACAAACAAACCAAAAATAAAATTCACTGTTTTACAGTAAAGAAGAGAAAAAGCTCTGAGCTTATTTACAATACATACACTATACATAAATACAAGAATGACACGTACATAATCATTGATAAACTTATAACGTAGGCGCTGTTTAGCTGCTACGTAGCCTAGAACGTGCAGGAAGAAAGTACTGGGAAATCAAATGCCATTTTTCCTCCCCGGGAAAAGAAAAATGTCAGCTCTTAAAATCGTTTGAAAAACAACAAAGGAAAAGGGAGGAGCTGTAATTTTGTTGCTAGTACTGGCACAACTAATAATTTGGTGACTATTTTGGGATGAATGGATGGACAGACTCTCATGTTAATAGCCAATGTCTGATCAATTGGATGTCTGGATAAAGATCAATAGGTTGCAAAGCCTTTTCTGTCCTGGGTGATGTCATGACCTCTCCAGTCTTGATTTCCTCACTTTCAAATCACTTTACATCATTGTTGCCTTTGCTGGGGAAGAGAAAAACCCACTCTCTTCTCAGCCTTAGCCAGCATGTTGGTGGTGATGTGCAGAATGGAAGTTGAGATTCAGTGTCACCTGTAGAAGCAGATGCCCACTCTAAAAGGATAACACTCTCAAGTTTTCTTCCACACACACACACGCACACACATAGCAAAAGAAACCTATGGATAGTACGACCCTGTGAGGAGGCCTTTAAAATGGCGGATCTCTCCAAGTAAGCTGAGTCTATCTTACTGACTCTACCATGAGTGCTATGCTCAACAGCTTCCTCGCCTCTTTGAAGTCCCATGCTGGCAAAAACAAAGTTCTAAGGACATTGTGAGCTGAATTTAGAAACGTCTGCAAGGGACTTCCTTATAGGAATTGGGTGGAGAAGGGCATCACTTTGACACACTACTTTACAGAACAAGATTTATTTATTTAGACACTTTCTGCTGGGTTGTGCTTTTCTAGTCAAGAATGGCGCCAGAGAAAGTCCTGTGGAATTGGACTCCAAAAGTGCACCTTAGATTCTTTGACATTGAATATGCCAGGACCAAATTTAATAAAAATTTTGGAGGGTCACTGCGCTTTTATGCAAAAGGCTTTGGGGTCCAGATGTCTCAAAGAAACTGAAAAAAACTCCTCTCTCAAAGGATGGAGAGGCACAGGAATCAGTCTCCCTCCATATAAGGCACCCTCATTTTTTTTTTTCTGTACAGAAAGGAACATTAATGGAGGTATCCACAAGGGCTGATTTAAAAAAAAAGGCAATATGGTAGCCACAACAATGGGATCAATGCTCCACCTTTTATGTGGACAACCCTGATCAAAAGCCACCCATGATTTTTACAAGCTTTGGGTTCACCTATCTTCCATTTTCCATGATGCCTTATTTGTACAAACAAACAAGATGGCGAAATCACTTTGTATACATAGTAAGCCAGCAAAATTAGATAAGAAAAAACCTGACAACTTCTATTTATCATGTGGGATAATGGCCTTTTCCCCCCCAAAATATGAAATGGTTAAGAGTTGTTCACAATATTAGGCAACTTTTTTAAAAAAATATTCGTTCTTTCCTTAACGCAAAGCCGTTAAAAAAAACCCCACACATCAGCCCTGTAAAGTTACTAACTCTTGACAATTGTTTCATTCTACCATATTTCAAGATGCTAGAGAAAGGAATTTTAGTAAACTGATGAGAAAGAGGATTTATCTGGCAGTATTTATTGTCTTCTCTATATCAGAATACATGATTCTTACTCCTTGAGTTAGCATTGGTAAGGTTCTGCTGCAACTTCGATCAAGTGGAAATAGACAGAACCCACGAAAATGACTCCAAAGTGAGTACTCATCCCAAAATAAACTGGTCATCTGAATGAAGGGCAACTGGATTTCACGCCAGCTACTAGCTCGCATGAAGTGAAAATGGCCATTTTCTGCAAGCCATTATTTTTGCAGGGGTGAGTTTTAAGGGTTGCCTTCAATTGACTTAGCTTAGTCTTCACGACCGGCTGATTTGACAACATTAGAAAACACTAAGAAGAGTGAGAAATGAAAAGAATTAGAAATGATATGCATCCACTGTTTAGTATGACCTGATGCTTATGAAAAAAAAAAAAAACCTTTTCTCTATTTGTTTTTGTCTTCTAACTGTATAGAAACCCCACCCATCTCCTTGGGATAACACTGTCACACAGAAGGAAGCAGAGAAATGGCACTTGGTGATTTGCTGTGTTGCATTGAACCCCCATGTAATCTTCCCTCCCCCTCCCTCCCCCTTGAAAACAATATTCTAGGACAATTCAGCTGCATGTTTATTGCTTCGTAAAAAGAATAGGGCTCATCCCCATCTGATCTATTGTTCATAGACAGGCACTTTTCAAAGCACTTCACCTGTGTAGATTGTTAAATGTTCCCGAAGAAATTTGTTAGCCGATAGTCATACGGTTATTATTGTTGTTATTATGGAATCCATGCATTTATTTGCTGAGTTAAAATAGCGAGTTTTTCCTCTGGGATCCTTACATATAGGATTGTATGCAAGCTGTGCATAATTTCATACCTCCTCCCTCTTTCTGAGGGAGAACAATTTAAGATCTGAGCCTACAAATGAAGCTACTCTGTTTTAATCTTTATTTATATGAGCTTGGCAGGTACCTGCTCTGTCTCACAAAGCATCTAGCTAAGAATCCATTTGCTCTTCAAAACTGTTTAAGACTCCCTTCTGCCTTTTTTGCAGATGGAGTCTATTGATCAGTGAACAGAAGAAAACCCAGAAGAATAATGATTATTTAAAAGTCCACTGCATTCTACAATGAAAATTATACAGCCTCAATACAACCATCTTTCCAATTAACTGATCAAAACTTGTGAGTTTTCAAAGCAATATGTGCAACAGATTTGATTCCACCTTGTCCATTCACCTCTCTCTCTTTCCAGTTACTCTAAAAACAAGTTACCTTGAAAAACAAGGTCTTTTATCACATATCTACTGTCTGGACTGGCCAGCCTCCAATGAACTTAACTGGAGTATAGGACTATTATCTTCAATTCATCTGACAATTCATTGAATTGTCTTCAATTCATGCTTTCTAGAAAGCCTGTTTGTAAGAACAGAGATAGGAATGATACTGCTATTTATTGTTTATAATTGGAAGACATCAGATGCAAAACGACTTCCATTCCTCAATTATCATCCCTTTCCTTTTATTTCCTTTGATTATCAAACTGGAGTTTACAGGAGGTGAACATTTCCTGTAGAGCCCTGCCTACTATATTAGATGGACTTGAATTCCCTTCATCAGGTAGATGGTACCTGGCCTAAGTACTCTCTCACCTACCTAACTACAGCTCTCTCCTCCCAGATGTTTGTGTGTCCATCTAGTGAGAAGTGAAGCATGTCACACACAGCTGATGACAGGATTCTAAATTTCCCAAAGCAACAGAATAACAGAGTTAGAAGGGATCTTGGAGTCTTCTAGTCCAACTCCCTCCTCAAGCAGGAAACTGTATACTATTTCAGACAAATGGCTGTCTGAAATCTCTTCTTAAAAACCTCCAGTGTTGGAGCATCTACAACTTCTGGAGGAAAGCTGTTTCACTGATAAATTGTCAGCAAATCTCTCCTTAGTTCTAGATTGTGTCTCTCCTTGGTTAGTTTCCATCCATTGCTTCTTGTCCTGCCTTCAGGTGCTTTGGAGAATAGCTTGACTCCCTCTTCTTTGTGGAAGTCCCTTGTGGAACACTGCTATCATGTCACCCCTGGTCCTTGTTTTCATTAAACTAGACATGCCCTCTATGAGTTCTTTGCTGGTAAGGTTGGAAAGTTAAGCTTAGATTTTATTGTGTTAAAGAAAAGTCAAAATGTTGAAAGATTGAAGAAGCTACATTACACTTGACAATGTGCACAGCGTATCCATGAATTGTTTGAACGTAGGATGCCCACTACTGCTCTGTCCTATTTCCAGTCTCAATAGGTCCATTTTTCAAAGCATTCGTGCTTGGAATCACTTCAGGGAAGCAGATTTTTTAGAGTTTAGCTTTATGCTTTGACAGGTTTTTTTTAAAAAAAATCAGTTTACGGAAATTAAAACTGGTTCTTTCTACCATTTCCTGACTCTATCTCAGATAACATGAAACCAAGTTTCCGTGATACATGACATGAAAGGATTGGGCTCTGACAAACTAGAACAATCTTTCCCGCTTTTTTTTTTTTTAAAGAAAAAAAAGTTAATTGTGTCATAAAGGTTTCACACT